TGCCATTACTGTGTAACGAAAATTGTGAAAAACGTGGCAGATTTATGCAGCATTGTATACAGATTCACTATTGTTCACTTCTGTCACAGAAGCATGCAGTCTTTAAGTGATATATTATTGTAATTCCTAAGCTTAATGTTGCTGTTATACGACGTATTACAAGCGAAACATAGAAAAAAATATAACAAATTATTTTAATCAAAATCAGAAATTATTAATGGTCTTAAAACACGTATGTACATGTCTTAAAAAACAGTAGGATGCATCTCAAATATTATCACAGATGTATATTCTATTTACTTTTTAAACTATCAATTTAAAGCAATGAAAATTTATTCTGTATCTGCATTGATAAATAAGCAGTTTGAAAGTTAGTATTTGTCCCTTTGCGTATCATAGCTTCATTCTGATTAAATTCAAATCTCGATTTTAAATTTAGATAGATATATACAACGTAATTATAGAAAAAATCCTTAAGTGCTGTGATAATTAATTAATTCAATAGTAATTAAAATTACACAGAAAATAAGATTTTATTTTTTATTACAAATGCGAATAAAACAATTGCTTTTTTAGAAATTTGCTTTACATGTATGGATCTCGAAATATTGCTTAATAATAAATGAATAAGACAGTAGCAATGCCAGGAAGCAAGTTATGATACTGTCAATGTTTAAAAATACGAACACGAACAAAAATAGTCTATACAGTGAGTCATTAAGTCAAAACTTCCAGTTGATGCGTGCGTACGTGATTGATTTTTAAAGTACTTCTTCTTCCAAAATTGAAACTCAACATGCAACCATTTTGTCTTTCAATTCCAATCTCTATTTTCGTATAAAGTTTTTAAATATTTAAAATTAAATTAAATTAAAATTTTCTATATATTAATATCAAATGTTTCAATTAATCATCAAATTATATCAAATCTGACTTTGATTTACATTGCATTTATTGATGTCAGTATTAAACTGTATGCACGAACATTTTAATATTTTGTGAAAATTTTTGTCAAATTTTTGTCAAATGAATGAATTAATGCATTAATTCTTTGCACTCGAGAGGCGACTCATAGTCGCCATTTAATTCAATATAAGAAAATTATAAAATTAAATATTCGATATCATATTTTATATAATGTAATTAATTTTTCTATTTAATAGAATCGATAGGCTGATCAATATTCTATTAGAAAAAAATGACTATATATAACGAAAAGACTGTCGAGTATAAAATATTTTGATGCCAGTTCGCGGAAGATTAAGTACAGTCTTTACGAGAAGAATAAATGTAAAGACAATGTCTTCGTCAATTATATCTATTATTGTACGAGTCCACACCATAAAAACCGAGCAGTCGCGTTTGAATTTTAAGTTCGTAACTGTTCATTTTATTGACACCAACACAATCCTCATGAGAGATTAATCTCTTACGCGCTTGAATTCACTATCAACTACTTCGATGATGTCGTTAATGATGCCACAATGCTATTAATACTTCTTCAGTTAAAAAAATTAAGTGTAACAATTAAACACTGTGCTTAAGCGACCCGTACACATATTCATTGCCGTGTCTGTAACGCGAAAAACATCATTTAATAAACACATTAACCACCACACTGCCAGCAGCATAAATTACCGCATGGTTGAGACCTTTCTTTTCATTGTAATGAGAATTATACAGTGTCTCGATATTCTCTGAGCTTTTTTCTATTTTACCTTGGAATTTATTTATGAAATAATTACAGCTTTAAAGACACGATCGTGCTGGTGTTAATTTGTATCGTTAAAGTCGCAGTTCACAGCATTGGGCGAAGAAGGAAGCTTTTCATATTCGAGGATTTTATGAGGGTCTCGTGATTCGTCGATGCGTGTGTTCAGGAAGGATAATCATCATTAGCATGAACAACGCGAGGCGGTTTTTTATTGCTTCATTGAACCTTCATATGGGGACGCGACTCTCTCACTATTCTTTACCTTTTGTTTCTTCTCGTCGTAATGGTAGCCATTGAAACATTTTCGAGGAATAATAAATGAATTCGTATACTTCCGTTTGCTGATAATTTAAATAATAGAATGTTGCCTGTGACGATTCAGACTTTTGTTTTCATTCTTTTATTGTAAATCAGGTCTTCTTTAACCGTTTGGGCCCCAAATAAAAACTTTCAGAAAAAATACATTTATTTCCGCAATATTTATTTACTTATTTACTACTTGAAGAAAGAATCATTTTTTTTTGTGAATACAACTTCTTTTATAAAAATTGTTTTCATTTCTATTGAAACTGAATATAACTATTCTAAATCGTATGACTTTATTTCAACAACAATATGAAAGCGCGATAGATGAACAATGATAATCGATGTTATTAATTATATTGAAATTACATTTGTTTGGCACTAAATATCTATAGGCTGCTAATAAACAATAGACAAATATAGATCGTTTTACAACGGAGATTGGCCATATCCATAAATTCGTCATGCGACAAGTATGTGTAACCTATTTATAAATTCACCGATATTACATTATTTGTCGTGAAGATCAATGGCCTTTGACACAAAAGCAAATTAAACAGAGATATCGCTTCCGAATACGAATTCGTTAATAAATTCACCGGGTACTAATTATACAAACAGATCGTTGATTAAAATTAATTACATAAACATTCCTTATTCAAGTAACGGAAAATTCGGAATTATTCTCGAGCAGTATCTCGATCACCAATAATAAATGACATTTATAAAAAATGTGTAACAACATATTCACTCATGACCTTATAGCAGCAGCGTGTGTAAATACAATTTGAATACTTCTTAAATCTTGAAGTGAACATATCAACGAATTACATGTATGATATTAATAGGAATGTTAAAATGAAACACTATGTTTTATGCAAACGCCGTTCAACACGTGAGCAGGTTGTTTGGAAGTTGAAATACGTATTACAATTTACATCGTACAAACGCTTAACAAAAAGATTCGTATATTAACTAGCTTCCATTTGCATAATGGAAACTGTCAGGCAGATTCTATAACATACATTGTAAGCGTGTGTCTCGTGTAACTCGCGCGTACGTAACGTTATCTGATCCAGCGTTTCTACAATTTTGCGTAGTAACTGGAGCACGTTCTTGAAAAATCACTGTAGCGCCCGCGCGCGCCGGGCAAGAAGCAATTAAGGGTTATTCCGCGGGGTTTTGACATTGCAGATGGTTGAAACAAGAGTACGAGAATTTCATTTCGTGTCTGGATCGCGTATCGTGATGTGAAATCAACTGGTTCGCGTGTGTTAATTTTTTCATCTGCTTAAACACTTTGAACTGCAGCCATTTCATCAGGAAATTTATTATTTACAGTCTTTGTCCGGAAACATCAACGAACGTTCTTATTTGCCGAGAATCTAATAAAACTTGTCGTTATTTCAACTGTAAAATAGAT